ATATTTTTTATTTTTATAACTATTAAATTAATTATACATACACACAATCAATCGATTGATCTGTCTGTCTCTCTGTCTATCTAAAAAAGGTTTATTATATTATGCCATGTCATAGAATTGCATCAAGCATGTCATACAAAAATATTCTCACTCCCACCATGTTGCCACGCCAAACCCACAACAAAGTATGAGGTAGCATTTGAATCATATTATATTCTTCCACTGTCATTTAAGGTCTTGTAACTATTAAAGAGGTGTGGTTAATTTCTAGAAGTCCATATTCCATCCCTAGGCCTTGGGGCAGTCTACCCAGTGACTCTTCTTTTAAAGAAAAATGAATTTTGAAGTCCCCTTGTGTCCTTGGGGAGAGGACAATTTCACCAGCTGTTGCGTTGTACTCTTTAAACCTCATTAGGTCCAGGAAAGCTCTTCTTTCGAAACCCAGGAGTCACTGGAAGGCGTCTCCAGTTATAGAAAAAGGAAGTCAGGCCTACAACACCATACGGTGTTGAAAACCCTAATAGAATTGCCCCTTTACCCCAGATGAAATGAGGGGCTTTTCAGTTTTTGAAATGTGGTCGAGGGGCTCAGGGCCAGGGCATAAGGAGGGCTGAAGACTTCCACTGGGTCCTTAGGGGGTTGAGATCCATAGGCTACATTTTGCCTGTCTCTTGTATAAAAATGACTAAGAAGACACACAAGTTCAACAAAGTTGTCCCTTGCTAGATTGCAATCATAATCTCAATCAATTGTATCTTCATTATTGGCAAAGAAACTAATTATAAGCAATTATTACTAAGTTATGTCCAACCTCTGGGCATTCCTCATCTCAGATGTACACAAAGAGGTGACATGAATTAACATGGGACATTAGTTAACTGGTAAGCATTGTGGGGGATTTTTGCTGGCACAAAAAATAATTTCATGCTCCATTTTCTAAAGCGCAGGTTTCTAAATTGCCTGCTGTAATTTTCCTTCTTGTTATCAATCATATTAATAATACCATTCTGCGTTCACTTCTTTCCCTAAAGACTGTAGGATCAAAGTTAAATTAAATTCTTATGTTAACAATTTCTGGAAAGCTTTATATTTCTGAAGGAATTCAGTTGCCTTTATTGACAATATTTAATACAATGGCGGGTTTTTTGTTTTGATGTTGGTGTGCATGTGTGTATGTATGATTCTTTTTTAAAAAAACCACTTCTTATGTCTAGGTTCATTCTCTGGTAACTAATTTCACTCTTTATACTTACAAAAACATTTTTATTTTAGAAATATTCTATTCTTTTCTTGGTGTTTGAATAAATTAGACAGTAAAAATAAATGTTATATTTTATTAAGAAACATAAACTTGCATTTTATATCTTATACTATTATGTTTCTATCCTCATTTTCTTGCACAGTATGCTGTTCTACATAAATGGAGCATCATTAGAGAGATTTGCATAGAGAAAAGTATTTTATCAGGTTTTACAGGTAGATTCGTATAGATGGTCCAGTAATGTAGTAACAGTTTCTTAGTGCAATGTTCATTATCCATTTTTATTTGTATTGTAATTTTGCAGAAACAGAACTAACCAAAATAGAACCTGCTGCCCATTTGACTAAAAAAGGTAACTCCTTAATCTCTCCCCAATTTAACAAGTTTATTTCTTTCCACCCCCTCCCACCCTTAACCCAGGGTTACTGTTGCTTGTTGCATACTGTGAATGGAATCACTGGAATAATTTTGTAGAAATGCCAGGAAAGGAAAGATTATAGTTCAGTGCAGAAAATTTATGAATCCTGGTTAAAACAGATCACACTGTATTGTTCAGACAACAAACTAAATTACGGTAAGTCTAAAATGGAAGAGACTCATCTCATCTTTTAATCATAGAGGAGAAGGTGAGGTGGGGGGGACCACTCTCACAACCACTACATACTTCCAGCTGGACCTGGTATATCAGCAACATGTCTAGCAAACGTGGGCACTATATTTCTCAGGGACTAGGGATTGCCTCTGGCTTTTCTGTCTGGATTTAAATAGTAGCAGAGTAATCACACTGTTCCAGTGATGCAATTGAGCCTAAGGGGACAGCATAGTTTTACTGCAGTGCCATGTGTTAAAACAACTTTTTGATCACAGTGGGTTAAGTTAAATTGTGACTCACAATCGTGCCTCTTTGATAAGTGAAGACAAGTACATCAAGCCCCATTGATTCAAATGTTTTATTAAGCGTAGAATTTAACCCAAATCATCCATCCAAGTGAATGCATTCAGGATTTGATTGTAAGGCCGAACGGAGTTCATTGTAGAATTTCATACTAGCATCTGCAAGGATCTTATTGGGAGGTTGCCTTTGTTATGATTCTCTTTCCAGCTGGACAGTGTTTCAATCTTTCTGTAGGTTTCTTGTAAGGAAAAAAAAATACACTATCCAATTTTACGACTTCTGTTATGAAGGGTGATCAGATCAATATCATGATTAATGCCAGTTGCTTTCAAATAAATTGTATACTATTAATGTCCGGGTTGAAAAAGAAAAAGGAATCTTTTGTTTGGAAGAGCCACTCTCCTTCTGACTGGAAGTATAACATAAACCTTATCTTTGTTTTGCAGCAGTACATGAAAAGAAAGAAGACAGATTATTAAAGGCAGTGGAGCAAGGTAAAATGAAACTCAGTGAAGTTGACATTATCTAAGGGTGATGCCATAGCAATGGAACATCACACATCACTTTCAGAAAAATGGACAAGCTTGAATTTGTCTGTATAGTTATCTCTAGAAGCAGTTTTGTCTGTCTGTCAGATGCCTTTGAAACACATATCTGATGGGATTTCAGTTGGTATGTAACTATTTGCAGAGACAGGGGGAATCTTCCATTTTCCTTCTGCATGGTCATCGTTTGGCGATCTGCATTCTTCTAATTGATCTGATCTGTGGAACTAATGCTTTACCTGATGAGACATTTTAGCAAGAAAGGAAAATTGTGATGGCTCTGTGTGTCATCCATCCATCCATCCATCCATCCATCCATCCATCCATCCATCCATCCATCCATCCATCCATCCATCCATCCATCCATCCATCCATCCTTTTATTTCTGAATGCTTCACATGCAATCCTTTACATGTGTACTGAGCAGTAAGTCCCATTGAACAAAATCTTGTTGCTTAGTTATTCCTGCAGAAGGCAAATGGGAATAATTTGCAGTGGCTTCTGGCTGGCAATGAAAGAATCTCCACTTGAATCTTTTGGCATGTGTATCCACTGGCTTGTTCCAGGCCAAACATTGTCACAGAATTTAGAATTTCTGATAAGATTATCTTTTTGCTACACAGTAGAAGTACAAAGCTTCACAGAGGAGAACAGCCACATGTTCCCAGACTCCTTTCCCATTTAACTGGCACTTGTAGGAGAAAGATTTTTAAAAAAGTTTATTTACATGCAGTTGCTTGGAATTATAAACTTGGCTGCTTTCTTTACTGCACACATACTAGCAACCAACTAACCAACCAACCAAACAAACATATAACCAGCAGCAAACAACTGCCATCAACTGATGGAAGATGGATAGAACATTAAGCAGAGATGCAGGGTTCTCTTTGAATTTGAAAGGCTGGAAGGAACAGTTAGTGTTGGGCAGATAGACAATTGCCCCAGCCCAGAAAAGTCCCTTCCAGTAACTCAAAGTAGATAGACAATTGCCCCGGCCCAGAAAAGTCCCTTCCAGTAACTCAAACTACAGTATAGACAACATGCAAAGTTGTAAATAAAATTTCAACAAAAATTCAAGGCAGGGATATGAATAAAGGGAATGGAGTTAGTGGATGTTCTGTGGCAATAGGGATGGCTGTAAAAATTATTTCAGTTGTATCTTAATGTGGAGATTTATATTTTTGGACAAATTCCCTCCAGTTCCCTAGAAAGTTTAGACAGTTTTAGAAATCTGTACATCTCTAGAATGTACCTAATTCACCTTTGTTGAACCAATATTTATGCTAAAACACTGTTATCTCTGAGCGCTGACACTCCTCTAAATTTTGTGATATAATTCTCCAATTAAAATACATAGATTAGGGGAAAACACTTAAAAATTATACGTCAAAGGAAATGTAGACAAAAATTGTCAATACCTTTACACTGACTTTCAAATACAAATTATGAGTTGTTATAAACATAGGTTATGCTGTCTGGAGAATTCTGGGAGCTGTAGTTCATAAACAGATCTCTACACCTCTAGAAATAGGTTGTGGTGAACCTAAGATCACAAACATTTGAAAATGAGAACAATTGACCTGACAACTTTCTCCATGTCCCCCTCCCCCAGATGTCAGAGGAAGAACAAAGTTCAGGCCTGAGACTGCTTATAACCCCCAACAGTCTTTTTTGTGGCCTCCAGCCTTTTCTATGTTGTGTTATATTATGTTATGTTACTGTATATGTCATGAAGTCAAAACCAACTTATAGGGACTCTAGTAGGAACTTCAAGGCAAGTGAGATATTTAAGAAGGGGTTGTATCAGTTCCACTCCTCCAGTGAGCTTCCATGGCCAAATGGGGATTTGAACTCTCATCACCAGGGTCCTAGTCCATCATTTTATCCACTACAACACACTGGGTATCTCCCAGCCCTTTCTTGCCTCATTTTTTATAGGTAAAAAGCAAATTGCAACTACTGAACGCCTCCAGGAATAACAATTCCCATTCTAAATAGATCACCTTCTGTGTTGTTTCACACCACGAATTACCGATTTTTCAAACTAAACACAGATGTTTGTGTGTGTTTAGTCGTTTAGTCGTCTGTGTTGTTTCACACCACGAATTACCAATTTTTCAAACTAAACACAGATGTTTAGCCACTTCCTATTTCATTTTATTTTTGTATCTGGGGCATTTTTTTCTCATCTCTGCAGTCCCTCTTCCAAGGATCCCAGCAGCAGAAAACTAATCCTTGGATCAACCAAAATTGTCCTATACCCTCTATTTTGTATGTCCCGTGCAATTTTGGAACAGGGTTTAAACATTCTATGAGCAGTGCTGGAGCTTGCCCCATATTCAGGCCAACCTTCTTTGAGCAGAGCCACTTGCATTTTGAAACCACTGTTCTTCAAATAATTATCCCATCTCTGACCAAAATTACAACTGTGATGTTTTCATACTTAGTTATCTGAAGGGAACTGTTGACAGCAGAAAGGAAACAACTTGAGAATTTCAGATTTTTGTTTTTCTCTTTTCTTTTTGCAAATATTGTCAATGAAAGAATTCAGGGGATTACTTTTACACCTTTATTTGAATATGCTGTATCTCTCTATACATGATGCACTGTTTTCTCTCACTCGAAATCCTGTTTATATGAATACTTGTTATTTTTTGTTATTTATTCTTTTGCAGACAAACCAAAATCCAAAGAAACAAGTAAGTTGTATACTCAACATACACCTCATATACCACTTGCCTGATAACGATATTGTGTCCTGTTCAGTATTCAAGCATGTGTGAATCTGCAATGTGGAGGCTACAGTGGCAATCTTACAAGGGTGTGTTGGTGTAGTGCCAGGCAGATGATCATATCCTCATTAGATCCCTCCATCAGCTTCCACAGTTGAAATTCTGTGCCCATAAAATATTGAACAAGATCCTGGTCTATATGTTTGTCTTGCCTTTTAAGATGCTAAAAAATCAGCACAGGTTTACACCATGATTTAAACAAAAGAATGGCAGCATATTTCAGAATCATTGGCAACAGGTCCATCATAGTAGATATCGCAAAAAGAAAAGAAATATGGCATGTGTTGCAACATCTACAATTGACAAACAATTTTAACTCTACGGAAACGTTATGCTCTATAAACTATCATGATTTGTAGACGAGTCTCCATGTGAGCCTGTTATAAGAAAAAACCAAGTGGTACCTTAATAATCATCATCATATGCTGTCAAGTCAATTCTGACTTATGGCGACCCTTTTCAGGATTTTCCAGGTAGAGAATACATAGATGTGGTTCACTATTCCCTCCCTCTAGGGGCATCCTGGGACTGTGCAGTTTACACAAGGCCACACAGAATGGCTTTTCTTACAGGAGGCACCGTGGGGAATTAAACCCCCAAACTTTGGCTCTGCAGCCAGATACCTAAACCACTGAGCTGTGGCACCTTAGAGATTAACAAAGTGCCATTGGATAAAACTTTGTGGACTGTAGTCTTCTACTTCATCATCATCATCACACACGAAGTGTTATACTGAGTTATATCTATGTGATTGAGGCTGGAACAGTGAAGTCATAGGAACATGAAATGCAAAAAGTGCAGTGATTATTACTTTGACTAAGTTGTACCATAATGTAATCTGTCTTTTCAAGGACAACAGTGCTCAAGATAAGATAGATGCATGCAAGGCCTGCAATAAAATGTGGCAGTTTATAGTCCACGACATTTCTCCTTCCATGCTATTTTGTGTTATGGCCTGCTCAGCAGTCAGTCAGGTCCACTGCGCATACTCAGTTCAGTATGGGTTATGGGTGATGTGTTTAAACTTGTGTAAACCTTGCTCATACCTTCATTTTACATGTAAATGATACATTTGAAAAACTCATTCCGCTGCTACTGCATATAATAATGGAGACAAACACACAGAGAGATTCAGAATGTTAAAAATGTTCAGATGTACATAACTGTATGCCCTTATCACAGTTCTGACTCAGATAATTAGACCTCTTTTTACATAAAGACAATAGGGGAGGTAAGAGATGTTCCCTGTGTAATCATTAACAGACTCTGGTATTTTTCAATTAAAAAATTGCACTGTCTGTGGCCAGAAGATGTAGCTTACAATGTGAGTCAATGAAGTGTAGCCCCAGTTATAATCATAGGACTGTTTCTGAACAGTGATATAATTTGCATATAGTTCATGGCAAGATGGATTTCTGCAGGCATGTCTTTCTTAGATGTAAGTCAGGAAAGATGCTGGCAGCATTGGAGTTGATTTTAAGTTACAGCTGAGGCAGCTGTGGATTGGATATCACACCACAGTTCTTCAAATAAAGAGGCACAGGCCATGCATGTACATACTTTCCCATTTGGCCTTTCTTTGAAGTGAAAATGTATATCATACCTTTGAGTGGTATGATATACCAGATGGGCGGGATATAAATAAATAAATAAATAAATAAATAAATGAATGAATGAATGAATGAATGAATGAATGAATGAATGAATGAATGAATGAATGA